CATGCTGTGTTAGTATTTTTGTGGGTATCTCAGGCAGTTTTTTGAGAAATAGCATCTTTTAGAACATTGTAGAATGAGGTTTACATTTTTTTTTGTGATTTACGTCGTGTTTTATCAACAACATACAAGCAGGCAGAGACGAGGGGTGGAAATGAAAAGCATTGCATGTACTGCCGTGGGTGCAGGTCCAGTTTCATACGGCCTTCATTTAGACGAAGCGTAATATATGCAAACGATAGAGCGAGTGATTCGGTATTATTGGAAAAAAGGTGTCAACGTTGAATTGACCAAAACTAACCTGTATTATTGGAAAAAGGCATCACCATTGAATCGACCAAAACTAACCTTATAGCCTTGAAGATCTTTAATTAACAATTACTTTTCATTAAATAAACTTGTCTCGCAAATCAATAGTAACGAAGTTATTTAATTTTCAAAATAAATGAAAATAATAAAACTAGGTGAGATTCACACGGGAGCTGTGGGAATACTGACCAAATTCTCCACTGCCCATGCGCAGGGTCTCTCGTACCCGTACTGTTCCTGGTAATTCACCCGTGACGGCACGGCCAGTGTCACGATTTCATTGGTCAGTTGTTTGGTGGTTATTTTAATAGCCAGTGGAGAAAGAATTCATGAGGGAACAGTCTTGGTGTATCTCTCGTAGGACTAGGACGTGTTTATAGTACTGTCCTCGGGTGTGAGGTCCCCGGAATCCTGTGTTTACCTGCCCCTATCTGACCTCGGATAGGGAGCGGGTCACCCCCTACCAAGATATCAGCATTGCTAGTATTGCTAGTGGAAGTGGATCCCATAAGAGGGTAAGAAGTGATGGAAGCATAGACATGAGTGACAAGAATGGATGCGAACGGGAGAAGAGGATGAAGAACGACGGAAACGAAGCAGCAGCCCAGAATGTTGCTGATGGGAACGACAGGAAAAGACTGCTATTTCCACAGGACTGCACCATGAGTTTCTTAGAAAAATTAAGGTGGGCCATGCAACTGGGCCGGGACCACGCTGATTTTGAGCCAGTGATGAAGGAAGGAAAAGAAAGGCCGTATCTCACGGTGCTGGCCAGGCGGTACAGACCCTGATGACTCAGGGATACAAGGGGACAATGATGACTGTCCCAAAGGCTGGGGAAAAGTTCACTAAGGTGATAATTTTCCGATATCCCACGATACTAGACCCGGACTTCCTACTGGACGTTAAGAGATTTATGTGGGTAAGGTGGTACACGTCCAGGGGCGAGGAGCGGAGTCAGCTCATTGCCCTTGTGAAGGGGGAAGTGCCAGAGAAGGTATTTATCTCTGGGTCGGGCTACAGGAGGGTGGCACCGTATGTAGAGCCGCCAGTCATGTGCCTCAAGTGCTGCAGATGGGGCCACAAGTCGTGGGCCTGTCAACAGGATGCTTGATGCAGGTTCTGTGGCAGGACACATGACTCAAGGGTCTGCCGGGCCAAAATTGAAAAGGGAAAAGGGTTATGCCTTGCTGCTGCAACTGCGGAGGCCGCCACAATGCCGGGTCTCCTGCATGCAGGGCGAGACCACAATTCAAGATTGCTTCGGCGTTCCCCAAGGAAGGAGTGGCAGAAAATGGAAAAGGGCCGGTCACCACGCGGCCAGAGGTGCCAAGGGAGAAGACAGCTGCAGCCCCTAATGCCTGGGTGCAGGGCCCACCACTGGTGGTGCCATCGCCAATGGCTTGTGATGACGGGCAGGACAGACAGGTCCAGGAAGTGAAGGAAGTGCTGCGGAGTAGTGGTGTGGATTTTTCTAAGGAAATATCCGAAATGACCAGGCTGTTCCAGACTCTGATACTCTGATACAGCGAAGAAACGGAAAAACAGAAAGAGGGTGAGGAGGCAACAAAAGAAACTCTGACTAAAGACACAGAAATGAAACAAACATGTATTTCTGCAAAGGAGCAAGATTCAGAAAGTGAGATAGTTATTAAAGGGAAGGAAAGAAAAATAACAGCAAGTGTGGAGTACAATGATCACGAAAAAACAAAATTTAAACAAAACTTGGCAAAGCTTAAAGATATGCTGGCAGAATGTAAGGGCAAGGTAAAGCATAGTGGAGCCTTATAACATTATTGTTTAGACTTCAGAGACAGGATTTCACAAAAATATGTACGACAAAGAACAGTTTGTTTACTGTATCCTCGTACACCTATATGTATAGATAACATGGGGACAACCTGAGTGCCTGTCCTTCGCAAATAAACAGCTGCACACACGGGTCACCAATGGTACCTCAAAGCTCATCTGTGAGTGTGCGTACGAACTTCCTTTTTTATAGACCATGATTCTCAATATTTTTATTTTTGTATTTTATGTTATTATCTGGTAATACACCTAATTTTTTGTATGAGAACTGTGAGCCCACACAGGGATTTATCAAGATAAGGGTGAGGATAACCTACGTTACTACATCCTTTTGAGATGTAACCTTTTGTCTCAATAAACTTGTCAAAGTCAAAGTCTGAATGATCATTTGTCAACTATGTCTCGCCATCAACAAAGTTACTTCTCCCTTCTCTATCGTATAACTCCTTTATTTTTGATTTGCAGAGCTTATTCCATAGATGAAAAGTGTCTTATTTAATGTCAAGGTAACCATTCCATATCTTTTTTTTACTCAATTCCTGAATGTTATATACTGTAAATTTTCCTTATTTTCACTGGTGACTTAATGTACAGTGCTTCGTGTGCGTATGAACGGCATGTGGAAGCGCCAATGCTGACTTTCTCCAACGCTCTCTCCTGCCGTTAATACCTGGAGGATTCTTTGTTTTCCTGGGTGGGGGTTAGGGGCGGCAGCCCCCTGTATTAAACAATATTGTGACTAAATCAATACCGTGATTACAGCAGAGAATGAGAATTCCATAGTGCACATGCATGATACCAAGAGTGGCATGACTCTGGTATGGAAAAGACAAACTAGCCATTTCCGATGGAAACGAACACCAGAATCAACCAAACCAAAAAAATAGAAATCAAACGAATCTAGTTTCATCCCGAAAAGTGATGGTGACGTCTTTTTCCAAATTTCCCAGAGATTCTAAGTAACTTTAACTTATCATCCACATACTTGAACCGCAACTCAAAAATATCTCTCCATCCATCTCCAACTCTCTCCAACTCTCTCCAACCCAACCCCACCCCCTAAAACCTAAAACCTAAACTAATGTAAAACTTAAAACCTAACCTAATTCTTAAAACCTAACATAATACTTAAATGCTAACCTAAAATCTAACCTAACCTAAAATTTAACCTAAAACCTAAAAGCTAACCTAAAACCTAAAAGATAACCTAAATCTTAACCTGAAATCTAAAACAACCTAAAACCTATAAACAAACCTAAAACCTAACCTAAAACTTAACCTAAAAGCTGAGATAAAACCTAACCTAAAACCTAATCTAAACCTAAATGCTAACCTAAAACTTAAAAGCTAATCTAAAACCTAAAAGCTAACCTAAAACCAAAAAGCTAACTTAAAACCTAACCTAAAACCTAATACTGCTAATAAGAAGAAATATTTATATTATAATATACCCTATTTTGATAATCTAATGTGATAACAAGACAAGGTAAATATTACAATAAATCTTGCTTATATCATCCCTACTTTTATTGTCATTGTATCATTTGTAAAGGCTGGTGACATTATTTGTATATTTGATATAGAACAGCAATAAAGATATAGGAGATGGCTCAATTAATGTTTGATGATTTATCAAAAGAGGTCTTGAAGATTTTCTTGTTACTTTCAATGCAGAATAATCTTCAAACTACAGCCAGTCTTTGCGCGGAACGACAAAATTAAAGACTGTCCTTACGTTTGTAAATTGAAAATATCAGTAAAATATTGGGATCACTTAAAATAATGTTTCACAGTAAATCAAACAGTGTCTGTTCAATACAAAAACTACTGAATCTTGGATATAGTCTTCATCTAGGTTAATGATCACCACAGCAGATACCTTAACTTTCAAGTATCGACAGAGCATATACATTTATCTGCTCATGCACAAATTTCCAAATCTAAGTAAGAAGATTTTAATAAGTCTGATCTGAGCAGATTTGGACACATTCTTAAAACATATGCAGTCGATAATTATATTCTCCACCTTGAACAACCAAGATTTGCCATCAGATAGATAAAAGAGGGTATTGATGTGTATGAATTTCGATTAGATTTTAATTTGCCACTAGCCTAATATTGTGCTTGTTGCCAACTCCCCAGGCCTATATCCATATTGAGATGAATTTGATAGAAAACTACAACTACTGCACTTCAGAATTTGGCACAAAGAAATCTTTGGGTTTAACCGTCCACAGCGGCGCATAGCCTCTATGGGGGAACCAATCTACACACACTCATGTATGCACGCACGCACGCACGCGCGCGCGCACACACACACACACACACACACACACACACACACACACACACACACACACACACACACACACACACACACACACACACACACACACACACACACACACACACACACACACACACACACACACACACTAACCATTATGGTGCATGTGTTAATGTGTATATGGTATGTCTACACTCGCAAGTGATTCCTTAACCATATACATATATAAGAATCTATATTTACTGAATTGGTTACATATTTTCTTATAGCTGTCTTTAGTGACTTTACTTTATCTAGAATATATAAGTTCATTTAATCACATGGAGTAGATATGCTCTCCTCATCTGGTTTGTTGCCCAATTTACTAATTTCTCAGAAACTTAAGATGCCCAGAGAACTTATGCAACAACAGCTTTGTTTAATGGGAATATTAGTGATACTGAATGACTGATCTATAAGGTGATTGTGATACCAGACATTTACACAGTATTTCAGATGTGATACGGCATGGCAAGTGTGGGTTCTTTAGCCAGAGTAGCAGCCATTGGAGGAGTGGTTGTTCTAAGCAGTGGATTCTATTTCAAGTTTCGGATCCAAAATAATATCAAGCAGTCTGAGTACTTCAAGGAGAGTTTAAAGATTCTGAGGTCAAATAGAGGTTAGTTAAGTTTAAAAATATTCTCTGAGTTAAGGACATATCTATAAGGAAATAAGTAGAAGTAATGAGCTGATTATCAATATCTTTTGATATCACATTCTACACATAGCATTTGTAAATGCTTATGCTTATGACCCTTTCCTGTTTACATTTAGATGTACCCTCCCAATATCATGCTCATTGTTGTCGTGGGGGGGCTTAGGAGATGGAGACTGGAGCCCAGCATAGGGGCTTGCCCCTACTTCAACTAATTTTGCTTGGTCTTTTCTTCTCCTTTCCTGTTCTGTATTTTCTTCATCCTCTTCTTCTGTCCCATTCCTAAGGTGTGAGAGCCATGCTGAAAGGATGAAAGGCTGGCTCTATATCACTCATGAATGGCCTCTGGGAGCCATGGGCATGGTATTTCCTTGGTTGTTAATTGCCTACCCCTTATCCCTTATGGGGATCCTGGATCTGTTCCTCATTTTATTCTGGCTCACCATGGCCAATATTGAAGATTCCTTACCCTTAATAGGGGCAATAAGACCTACCCCTGCATCAACTAGCCAATCTGAATTTGATTTTGATGGTTTTCCAACCCCTGCCCCATCCTTTGACCATGGCTTCGACCACTGATACTAATACCCTCTCCTCAACATTTACTGACAACACTATCCATTTTGAACCACCCACCCAGGTTATTATTCAACCTCCAGAATGCACCCCTTCCTCTCTCCTAACATTCTTCTCCATCTCTTAATGCACAGTCTTCTTCAGTGTCAACCCCCCCATCCCTTATTACTACTCTTCATCCTTATTGTCCTCCCTCCCACAGAATTACTCCATTCCATACCACCATCTTCCTCCTGCCCTCGTCCTTCTACTGCCTCTAGCTCTGCAAACTTTTTGAGTACTCCCAGCCAAGTGCGATCGATTCTTTGTGATTCCCTCCACAGCCCCTATTCAGAGAATACCCTTCTCTTTCAACAGTGCCTCCAAAAACAACCTTTCGCAATCATTCCAATCGTTCACACCTAGTCACAGTTACATCAAAATCCTAAGCTCGTGCACTATCCGAACCTCATCTCTCTCTCAATACTTGTAGTGAGACTGTTTCTATCCCCCCAACTGATTGTCCTATATATGACAAGAACTAGTCAGACTGTGAAAATGACCTACTTACCTGCCTTGCTGATTATGATGCAGTAGCAGTAAAGTGCTACACTATTCTCCCAGAGGCCAGCGAAGTCCCTTGTCAATATTGCCAAGATTAGCTTCCATAGACATGACCTTCCTCAAGTTTATATATTAGGATTGTCCTACCATGTCAGGCTATATCAACCCCTTCCTGCCAATGTAAGAAATATTGGCGTTTTGGCCATCCTGCCAAACGCTGTCACTCCACAGCCAGCTACCCTCTATGTGCCTAACTTGGTCATGACCATTCAAATTGCCCGGCATAGTCATGTACATGTGCCAACTGTGGTGACTCCCATAACGTATATTAGAGGAGATGCCTTGCTTATAAGCTTGAATGGGAGGTAGCAGTTCTCAGATTCAAACCAGGCCTCACTCTATGTTAGGAAGCACGATGACGAGGTTTTTCTCTTTGTACCAATTTCAAAACAATCCTCTCTGCACCCTCCTCATTTCCACAAGATGTTTCTGAATCACCCCCAGTTTCCCTTCCCTCTCTCCTGAATCATCCAACCTCTACTCTCCCTATCCCTCAGTCAAATCCCTTTTCCATTCTAAATCCAGATACTCCAATCTCTACCACTCTTCCGATACCTACCCTTTCTCCCCCCCACTTTACCCATCGCACCAGACAACCTAAACATTCTATTCTATCTTCGCCTTCCACACCCTCTCCTACACCCTCCTTTTCCTCCTCACAAGAGATCCTTTGTTTCTCAGACCTCCCTACCCAAATCTCCTCTTGAAAACATCCAAAAATTCCTAGACATGACCCAAGAAAATGTTCCACTCCCTCATCCACCCTCCAGTCCCTCTACATTCAAAGTATTTGCCAATATCCATACTCCTCCCCAGCAAGTTCCCCCTACTCCTCTTCCTCAGTCTTTCCCAACAAACCCCATCTTCTCCTTCTTCATGTACACCATTCCCTTTTCATTCTCCATTATCCATACCTCTCTCACCTGGATACTCTTGTGAATCCCTCCTGTCGCAACAGTATCCATCTCCGGATTCCTCCCCTCCTGACACAGTTCCTGATACTTCACCTCTACCCATATTAACTGTTAATTATTTCATAACTGCTCTTTTACCTTTTTTTCTTGAAAGCAATGTTACTATAGCTTCCCCAACAATAGATACATCGCATTCCATCTGATTGCCCTATACCATGAACCCATTCCTTTATTAATCTCTGAATTACTTAATTAGCACCCCTCTTTACCCTTTCCCTATCATACTATCCAATAGTACCTTTGACATTTAACACTCTTTATACTAATTGTTAACTCATTTACCCTTTTCACCACAATACTTAACCATAGTGCTATATGACCTTAGATGTCTAACCTATTTATTTGTTTCAACCATGAACTTTAACCATTACATTTAGAGGTAGAACAAGACATCTCTCATATCCACAAATCTTTTACCTAAACGATTCAGAATCTTAAGGAGGAGTAAAAATAGAAACCAATTTGTTATATTTTGAGAGTCAATACCTGGTAGTTAGTAAATATATTTTTCTTTGCTTCCTTTCTATTCCATTTTTGAGAAGTGACTTACCTGATAATTGATGTTGTAGTTACTGTTATTATTATTATTGCTTATAATATTTTTTGTTATTGTGATTGCTAATATTGTTGTTGGTGTTTTATAATCAGTATACTACAGTTAGGCTATTATGATTTTTATTATTGATACTTTAGTTATTATTGTTGTTACTATATTGTACTTTATCATTATATTATTGTTATTGTTTTTTGTTATTGATTATTATTTTTTTATTCCATCTTTATCATTATCATCACCATTAGCAAATGTTATTGTTGTTGTATTATTATTGATATATATTTTTTATTAGCTGTTATTATTATTGTTATTGATGCTATTGATATATATATATTTTTTAACTATTATTATAATTATGATAATAATTATTATTGCATTTGTTATGAATATTATTACCAACATCACTTTTAATTAGGTATTTGTATTGAACATATATGATGATACAAACCGCTGGCATGTTTTCAGGTGTCGCGCATTTGATGGGAGAGCCTATTAGAGACGGGACTTTGGACCTTGGTGACAGTGCCAATAATTTTTGCACAGGGAAGGAGGCTCAGTTTCAGGTTCGGCTTTCTCCAGTCTTGGTTTCTATCCTTGTTTTTTTATAGTTTATTTCCTTTTAACTCTTTGAAATTGTGTTTGATGTTTTATTTATTTATTTATTATTATTATTAATTTTTGTTTACTTGTGTGTGTGGGCATTTGTTCATGGAAGCATCCTTGTGTGAGTGAGTGAGTGAGTGAGTGAGTGAGTGAGTGAGTGAGTGAGTGAGTGAGTGAGTGAGTGAGTGAGTGAGTGAGTGAGTGAGTGAGTGAGTGAGTGAGTGAGTGAGTGAGTGAGTGAGTGAGTGAGTGAGTGAGTGTGAGTGAGTGAGTGAGTGCTGTGTGTGTGTGTGTGTGTGTGTGTGTGTGTGTGTGTGTGTGTGTGTGTGTGTGTGTGTGTGTGTGTGTGTGTGTGTGTGTGTGTGTGTGTGTGTGTCTGTCTGTGTCATCTGTGTCTGTCTGTGTCTGTGTCTCTTGTCTTTGTCTGTGTAGGGGGGTGGGAGTGCATGTGTACAATCCCCCACCCCATATCTTTTTTTCATTGCATGATTTTGTTAATATTCATGAATCCTAGGCATATTTTTTTATGATTACTTTAGTCATTTAAATGGTTTATTCAGAATTTGACTGGTAAAATAGCACACATTACTTGATTCATTGATATTTCTACTCAGCCAAACCACGTGCATTTCACTCTTCATGGTGACTATGTGACTGACATATGCATATGAACACTAACATGTCCATATTGAATTTCCTTAATAGGTACCCGTCAAAGGACCCAAATTAGACGGAACCCTGTACCTGTTCGCATCACGCCCTGATTACGGCCAGCAGTGGAACGTAGACAGACTCGAGCTGGGCCTCAAGGATGACCCGAGTAGAAGAATCCTTCTCCATGTATCTGATCAGCAAACTGTGAGCGAATAGGACAAGACGTATTCACTCTCTGCATCTTGTTGTTGTGGGTAGAGTCACATACCATATTGCTTGTAAGTTATTTTTTTTTTTTTTTTCTTGTAATTTTTTTAATCTTTAGTTTTTATTATTGGGTGATTGAATGTGTATGATATACCGTGCTTTTTTACTTTGTTTGTTTATTTTATTTTTTTTTTCCTGGTATGATTATTTGGTGATTAACTGAAAATGGATATACCTTGATTTTTTTTTTTTTTTTTTTTTCTAGTCCTGATTATTTGATGATTAACTCAGAATGGGTACACTTTGCATTTCTTATTATTTATATAAATCTTATTATATACTTTTTCTTTTTATAATTATTGGGTGATTAACTAACTTTTTTATTCCAGACATTGAAATCATGGAAGCCTACCGGGAAGGCAACATAGATGAGGAGTTATGCCCTGGTGCTGATGAAATGAGGGCAGGTGTTTCTGATACTTCAGTCGCTAAAGCAGATACTAAAAGTCTTGAGGACAAAGAGTCACAAGTCTCTGATGAAGCAGGAGAGCCACAGCAGGCAGAGTCCCTGGATTCTGAGACTCTTTCCCATGCTGAGCTTAAAAAGTTCTTTCAAGAAGCTCTTTCTCAGCTTCTTAAAAAGGATCCTATACTGAATGATCTTCATCCACAAGTAACACTTGAAGAGGTGAAAGATTAAGGTTTTTGGTAGATTTAGTAATCAACTTAAAATCCCTGAAGAGAAGGGAAAGAAAAACATACATGATGTAGATAATATTCTTTTTTCACTGATGATTTAGTACATTAATAATTTGTCTTTTTGTATGTCATATTACTTAGTGGAGTATTATTTGATTGCATATCTCTTGAACACATTGCATCCATCGTAGTTTAAGGTGTACCAAAAGAGTTGTTTTAGTGCTAAATGGTGCACCCTGGCCCTACTGTAGTTGCAAAGAAAGCCATTCTGACCCTTGGACACAATAACCCAACAATGTAAATATTATAATTTTTGTGAGAGGGCCACTTACTCGCCATTGCTACTGGTTCTTGGACAATGTGCCATTTATTCCATGGAAGAAAAGTGTGAGGTACCAAGAAGGGGAAGCAAAGTTAAACATGTTAAAATGTTACATTCTAATTATGCCTTATTTTGCTTTCAGGTCAATGCCTTAATTGAATTAGAACATGGAAGAGCAATGAAAGTATATGTTGAGAAAGCTGACGGTGGATTCTGGTGTGTAGTTGTACCCCGGGAAGCGACTGTTCATGATCTGAAAAAGGCACTGAAAAATCATGTTGCTCTCATGCTGGTAGGTATTGTATGATATATTTACAAGCCACATAGAAAGCAGCTGAGTGTATTGATGATAGTGGGAAGAAAAGTATGCAAAATATTTTATTGCTGAATAGGTGTAGATTAAAAACATATGATTTATAGTAAGTTGACTCTACAAAGTTTTCAGTTTGTATATCTAACATATATTTGAATTTTTCAGAACAGGAAAGGAGTCAAGAAAAAAATAAACTGGAAGTACATTTGGAAAGCATACTGGCTTTGCTACGAAGGAGAGAAACTGGCAGATGATCGTAAGAAATTACTAGAACTTGGCGTGAAAAATAAAAGTAGTCTCACATTCATAAAGAGATTAAGGGAACGAAACAAATCTGGTCGGAAGGTAAGGTAGAATAGAATGTATTACCTCTGTATATATCACAACAGTGTGTGAAGTTGAAGGTGAAGATTGGAGGCATAATAGTAATGATGTAAGTATGGGCTGGTGAATGTTAAAGTTTGTACCATGTTTTGTAAAAATTGTACAGGACTTCTCTTAGGTTTTTGAAAGCATTTTTAATAATCTATGTTGACCTATAAATTTTGAAAAGCTGGGTTTATATTATTGCTGAGTATTTTATAGTGTACATAAATTGAATGGAAATAAAACATACACCTTTTATTTTCCAAACACTCTTTCTCAGAATTGTAAAAGACTTGTATAGATAAAATCATTTTATTTATTGAACTCATACATAATTACTACAATATACTTGAGCAAAATATACATATATTTAAAATCTGCTCTCAAGCATATTAAAATGCAATGCATATCATGATTATATCTAGGTAGCTAAGGAAGCTATCACACGAAGAATCCTATTTTTTTTTCCTTTTGGGATTATAAGAAGTCATTTCATCATCCACATGTGAATTTCTATCATTTTATTCTCAAATGACAGAGTATATAAGAGGTCTGGTAGCATTATTACATAAGGTGCAATGAAAGACAAAACCTCTGGAGACTTACTTATTTCAGAACTTTTAATGTTCTAATGATTTTTCTATCTTTCCAAGGCATTTGCTTGTGCGAAGATTTACTAGGTTTTATAAAGATAAGTTTATTATGCATTTAACAAAGACTCAAAATACCGACTGACAGATTTGTTGAGATTATCTGCTGTATCATTGCTAATGTCATTTATCGACTTTTGTTAAATGATTTAAAATGGTAATGATAAAAAGCTGTATAGTCCTTAAGTATTTCACTATATACCTTTAGAGGTCCATCAGTATTCGTAAATATAACTAGTTAATATCATACTAAAGAGAGCTTAATATTTATATAGTCATGTAGAAGCCGTAAACACACACACACACACACACACACACACACACACACACACACACACACACACACACCACACACACACACACACACACACACACACACACACACACACACACACACACACACAATCACACACACACACACACACACACACAACACACACACACACACACACACACACACACACACACACACACACACACACACACACACACACACACACACACACCACACACACACACACACACACACACACACACACACACACACACACACACACACACACACACACACACACACACACACACACAACACACACACACACACACACACACACACACACACACACACAACACACACACATCACACAATCACGCACGCACGCACGCACGCACGCACGCACGCACGCACATACACGCACGCACGCACGCACACGCACGCACACACACACACACACACACACACAACACACACACACACACACACACACACACACACACACACACACACACACACACCACACACACCACACACACACAACAATACACACACACCCAAACACACACATACTTCACACACACAACACACACACACAAAAAAAAAAAAAAAACCAA